AACAGCAGCAGCAGTAGTGCACGCGTGTATATATATCGGCGAGTGGGTGGCGCGCAGATTTTGATTTACGAGCGGGCGAAATTAAATATAAGCGTGCCGCGCGCGCAGGTATCAATTACGAGGAGGAGGAGGAGGAGGAGGAGAAAAAGGCGCGCGAGGAACTTTTAAGGCAGCTGCACAGTCGAGCGGTGTAAGTGCCGAGTATTATATAGAGATCTGGAGAAAAAAAACAGAGCGTGCGTAATACCGCGTATAATGGAGAAATCGAAAGGGCCGATAGAGCGGAACGCCAGTGGCTCCCTGAAAGAGATTCCCGGAGACAAGGGAGGTCCAGCTCCAGCAGCAGCATTTGAAGCAAACGCCAAAAAGCAGCGCAAAAAAAAATGAAGGAGGAATGAGAGAGAGAGAGAGAGAGAGCACTGGGCCCCCGTAACGCACACCGTGCAGCCTCTCCAAACTCGCCTGCATCGCCGAAAATGCACCGCGTGCAGGCAGCAACCGGGGATTGATTCTTCGGAATGGGAGGCGTTTATACGTACGATGTATATAATGCACGAGCTGCCTGCGTGCCAGACGCCCCAGACGCGACCTCACATGTTGCTGCTGCAGTCTAGAGGGGCCTTATATACTTCTTGTTTCGCGGTGCACATGCACTGCACTGTGGTCCATGTATCTGTGTGTTTCACTCACCCTATCCTCCCATGATGATTGAGATACATCATCTGCCGCCGCCGCCGCCGCCTCACGGCGCAGGAATGAGCTTCTGCGCCTTCGCCTCCTCCTGTGTATAATGCTGCACGTCGGGCATTCCGCAGCGTACACACGCACAGATATATGTGCAGAGGACGAAGAGATCGTGCTGAGGAAGTGTATTGTTTTCGTATTTTAGGTGCTTTTTTGATCTGTTTTGATAAAAGTAATGATTTACTGATACTCGTTCGCTTATCTTGTACGAGTAACAATTAGTTTTTTTTAATGAAGTTTGAAATGGAATTTTGTAAATATTCAAACGTGTGATTTTTTTTATAAATTAATAAAAAGTGAACGATTTCATGAATCAATTTTTGTAGAACAAAAATAGTTTCAGGAAATAAAATTGATCCATCAGATGTATTTTCATCCCATTATGATTTTTGTGAACTTTTTCAATCATGCTAAATGATCATAATGAATGATAAAATTACGTTACAGAAGTATCAAATAATTGAATTATACAATTTACATCGTTGCGTACAACCGAGCACTCATATACGTCAGATGCCAATCGAATACGTTACACTTTTATCTAGTCCCTAGCATTATTGAATTTTATGAATGCAATCCGAGTTAAAAATGTATTGTTCATCTCAGAGTTCAGATAGATTAACGTCGTACGCAGTGGAAACGTCAGTTCTCTCTTTCTTTTTTGTTTACTTTTGTCCTCGACATTTTCCGAGAAGTACGTACATTATCCCCGACGCGCGTGTGGTACGAAATAAGCATGGCTTTTTAATTTATTACGCTCCTCCGTTCGCTACTCGCGCGCGCGTACCTTTTTTTCTCATTTTCATTTTTCGCGTTATGAAAAGTGTACGAGCACGCACCGAGTATAAGCGCGGCGGTGCGGCGTACGCAGGTTGAGCTGAATCGCCGCCAACGGTACAAAACGTTATTACGCTCTCGCGCGTATACGCGCTCGAGCTCTCGAAAACCCGTTCAAAGATATTTTCTTATTTTTCATCGCTGTACGCGCGTGCCAAGATACGTACGTACATTTATGTTTTTCCTCTCTCGCCACAACACGTATGACAATTATACAAGGCGTTTTTCATATATAATGTAACGTTCGACCGACAATAAAGAACGAACTACGTGAGACTTCGGAAGGCAATGGTCTCCGCGGTGCGCACTGCAGCACGTGCTGTCCGCGTTTTGAAACTAATTTCTCACAAAGCCGATAAGATCTAGCCAATGCGAGGCTATGCTCTCGGTATATCTCGCCTGCAAAAAATCAGTCTGAATACAGCCAACGCTGCTGCGCCGCTTCGAGTTTATGATACGCGTATATACACATACGAATGCGCAAACCTCGAATGGGCTTTAATCAAGCTCGAGGGACGTACATAATATACGTGAAAATCAAAGGCAGCAGCAGCAGCAGCAGCAGCAGTAATAGCTCGAATGTCCACGAGACCGAATGTGCACAATCGTATGTATAGGCATAATTTAATTAAACAGACACACACACACACATACAATATATACGTAATGCACGCATACATGAGCTAAGCCAAGTATACGGGGAGAGCCAGAGAATGCCACATAATCAGTAATATCGATAGCGCGCGCCCAGACTCTGAATAATAAAGCTATGATCCGCGTGCGCACGCTGTGTATACCCAAAACGCTGCACTATACGTGCCTTCTCATTAAGCATATGTTAATTTATGCTCGTCGTATAACGCGCGTAACCGTATATATACCCGAGCACGCGAGCGTAAACACCAAGTACAAAAGTTCACTTTGCCTAGTCAACAATTTAGCCGAGATCCTCCTCTCTTTCTCTGCCGCATTAGACGCGGTAACCCGAGTATTATAAAATCCAGGCGCCTCGTATAATGGGCCGTGTGTATGCCGCGCGTTTTATCCTGGATCTCGGCGCGGATCGTATCGTTGCAATGTGTGCGCGTCGTCGACGTTCGTGCGAATATCGAGCGCGCAAAAAAGCTCCGGCGTTTGGCAAATTATTACGAAACGAAACGAATAAAGACGATCGCCGAGCTCTCGAACGCGTACCCAACGCATGGTACGCAGGCAGAGAGATGAAAACATACAATTAACGGTCGTATGAATATAATTTACGAGAGCAATATATAATAAGCCGGAGTGGCGTTTAATTATTTATTTGCCTTCGACGAGTCAAAGTCTTTTGCGATTGCATTTGTTTGCTTTCGCGTACGTTGTACACACACACACACACACACACACACACACACACACGTATACACACACGGCGAAGTACTTTGGGCGCATTTTGCACGCAGAGATGCAATTATTAAGATGAAAAGCCGGCGGTACAGCGGCGTTCGCGTATTATAATACGCTGGTATTGCTCGTGGTGGAGAGCCTTGAAACATTGTAATCACATATCTGTGGCAAAACGTTATTATATGTCTTGGATGCTGCTGCTGCTGTGTAAATCGCGCATCGACGAGCGCGCGAGATATACACTTTATTCGCGTATATATTACATGGCTGTGTCGGATCGTTTACGTTGATGCAGCAGTTTAACGCCGTTTTGCGAGTCATTCATCCGCGAGACTGTTTGGTTTTTCTTTTGCCTCCCAGGAGTTGGAGCTTTTAGAAAAAAAAGCTCTGTTATATAAGACGATGTATATATAGTCATCTGCAAATTATGATACAAGCTCGTAGAGGATAAGCACTTTGCATCGCCTTTACAAGGCACGAGATAAAGGGAAGAGCTCATTCGGGAGAAAAATTGCAGCGCAGTACGTCAGACGCGTGACGAAGATTGAAGCCAAGAAGAGGAAGAGCTTTGAAAAAAGATTTAGATTATTAATTTCTCGTCAAAATTGTTTCATCTTAGTTAAGCGTGCGTAATAGTACGCATAATTAAAATACACGTACATATACTCGAAGAGAACGAGGATATCTATCCGCGCTGCTTACAATGCAACGCAGCAGTCGTTCGCTCATCGCAATAAGAATACGAGCATGAATTAATATACACTTGCTTGATTACATGCACGCGGTGCGGCGAGATTCCAGTGCATAGCCGAGACCGAGAGTTGCCCAAGAACCGTTGTTAAGTTACATGTGACCATTGTATACACATACATGTATACGACCGCGGCGACGAGAGACGAGCTTTTGTATATATACAGAGAGAGAGAGAGAGAGAGAGAGAGAGAGAGAGAATACCTACGCGATGATGTGCAGCAGACCAGCTCTTGGGGATATATACATACAATGCGACGTCGCGTTTCGTCTCCGAAGCCGAGAGGCAAAGAAAGTTTTTCTTCTGATACACACTAACACACGTGTACCATATCGTCGTTGAAATCTACACATACACACACACACACACAAGCGCTGTGCACGTGTCCCCGTATCTTTCTAATGACTTTATACACGGAGTTGCGGATTTCGCAACGACTCGAAGCGCATTAGACGTTAGTCGTCGTGGCGTACGCGTATAATGTGCATACGAACAATTTATTAATTGCCTGCTTTGCTTGATGTATTATAGCCTAATCAACGAAGACAAGTTGAATAATTCATTACTGCGAAGTGTGTGCTTGCTGCTGCTGCTGCTGCTGCTTTGTTTACTCAATGCGCAGCGTGTGTGTACGTCGCGACGCGCGGTGAAATCATTTTATTAATTTGCATCGACTCGTGCGAGATTTATTATACATGACAACTTTCAGCGATGAACTATTTTTATCTCTCATTAATTTTCTAGCTATCGTACATAGCTCGACGATAAAAAGAAATTGATATACTACCGACGTACTTGTATTATCGTAAAGCACGTAAATCGATCGGCCGTTACATAGTTACAAGCTGGCAGGGATAGGAAGTAATCGCGAAGATACGTGCATTAGCGGGAGAAATTAACCGTAAAATGTGTCCATATAACCGGGGGCACGCGTACCGCAAAAACCGCACGATTGCAGCCAATAGGCTATCCCATGTGTGCAGTGGCGATCGTCGACTCGGTATCGATGACATACTCGCACAAGAGAAATTTCGACGAGAGATCGCTCGCTTACCGAATGAAGAATAGTATAGCTCGGCGGCAATTTTTCGCGCTAGAAATGGGAATAAAATTCTTTGCGTCGTGGCGTTACTTTATCGGCGTCAAGGTGTGCGTCGGAGACTTTTTCAGCGAATGATTATTTATCGGAGCTGAGCCATCGAGTCCTCGTGCAAATTGCTTGCCGAAAATGCGTTGTTTTTTTTTAATGATTCAAAATAACTTTGACTCGTAATAGAAAAAATAGTCAACGAAATATTGATTTTACTAACAAATTGTTAGGCTGAAGTTTGTACAATAAGATTATTACATATAAATTATGTATTTACAATTAGTCAGAATTTAAAAAGTATTACATTTCTGTCGAATGGCTTGGAGGGAGATCAATGGGTGAAAAGACATTTTTTGACAGGAAAGCACACCAGCAATCCCTTACCTGGAAAAAAGAAAACAAAAATTAATCATTTCGGAATAATTTCTTTCTTTTTGAGCGAATATTCAATGATTTAATGAAATTAAACGCTTACACTCTTGTTCCATTTCTATTCTACGTCTTTTTCTTCTGTTTCGCTGGGCTCAGCACCCTGAAAAGTATATGTTTACGTAAATAAAATAGTGAACGAGATAAATTAATGCATAAAAAAGTGTCAGTATAAGATACGTACATCCTCGTCTGTTCGATTTGCTTCGCCATCGGTGTCGCTTTCGTAAAGTGTCTCCGGATCCGTCGTATCACACATATCGTTCTCATCAATAGCTGAACTACTATCGCCTTCACCTGACTTTTGAGCTCTGATTTGGCCATTAAGTAAATCATCAATACAGTCATCTATAGACTGAAAAATTATAAACAAGATAAACAACATGAACAATTGGATAAGAAATTGCCGAAATAGGATACATACTTTCGTGATACACGCCTTTTTGACATCAGTAGCTTCCAATTGAACATCCTTCGATTCGGGTTTCGATGAATCTTCATTTTTAGGTGCATTTTTTTCTGCGTCTCCGTTGTCCTTTTCGATATCCTAATGAGTTTCAAAAAGAAAAATTTGTATAAGTAAAATTACAAACAAATCCCACCATGAATAATTGCATAAAAAAATTGTCAAAATAAGTTACATACGTCCCCGTCTGGCCGCTGTTCTTTATCAATACTAGTTTCCATCGGTTCGGGTTCAGCTGAGGCTTTATTTTCATGTACACACGGTGCTGCGCCTTCATTGCTCTCTTCAGAAGACTCCGAATGCTAAAAAAATTATTTTCATGTGAGTGATAAAAGACATGAGCAATTGGCTAAGAAATCGCCAAAATAAGATAGACAGACCTCATCAGGTTTGATCCCTGCAATTTCTGCATTTTGAGCATCTACTAAGTGCTGTTGTAATGATTCCATTATAACTCTTTGCAAACTCTCATCGTCTTCAATAACATCATCTGGAATTTCTGGCGTTAGTTCATCTTCACCTATCGTTGCATCTGCCACTGAATCTTCATCATTGACAGGTGTATTTGCAGGTACATTTTGTACTTCGTCTTCAATTAATTTAGGAACAAGCTGATGATTTTGAGATAAAAAAATATTCATGTAAGTAAAATAGTAATTATGATAAACTTAGAAATAGCCAAAACGAAATACACACGTCCTGCTCTGGTTGCTGCACTGGAACGTGCGTATCTTCCGTCGGTTCTTCTTGCATTGATTTCAATATAGCCGCTTGAATATCATCATCATCGCTCTTTCGTATTGATTGCAATATAGCCGCTTGAATATCATCATCATCATCACTCTTTCGTATTGATTGCAATATAGCCGCTTGAAAATCAGCATCATCGCTCTCCACAGAATCTTCGTCGACCACTAGCTCAACTTCAGTTTTCCCCTAATCATTGTAGAATAAAAAAAAAAAAATTATCCATGTGAATAAAATAATCAAAAGACACGAAGAATCGTCGGCACAAGATGTACGTACTCGCAACGCCTCTTCCTCCCTTTTTTTACGTGCATTCTTCGCGACGCTCGAGAACATCCAATCGAAGCATTTCGTTGTCGGGGGTGTCGCGCGCCGCGTAGCTGCCACCGGTGCCGCATTGGGTCGTGCCGCTCTCGAGTCTTCGTCTTCGTCTTCGTCTTCGTCAAGTATCTCTTCCGCATCGGGTTCTTCCACGGGAACTTCCTCCCAAGTATAATCGTCCGATCCGAGACGATACTCCTGAAAAATATTTTTCAACTTCGAATCAACCGAACGCCGTGCATCGATATTGAGAGTAATTCAAAATTGCGCGTCATTGTGTTGAAAAGACAACCGACCGGCTATCGAATCGAAAAACAAAATATTGTATTTCAATCGCTTTCTTCTCTAATTTCGTTGGCTTGTGTGTGTATGTGTGTGTGTGTCACAAGAGTCAATTCGCAAACTTACAGTTACGTAGCTGAGCTAATTGTTATGATTGTAGCACTCGATGTTTACATTTACACTTTTGAATGACAAGTTCTGTTCCGATGAAATTATCTGCTCGGCGTTCAATCAATTATAGAAAATATAATTTCCAGTAGCAACTTTAATCGAATCCGCGTAAAAATCTTTACCTTTTTCCCGAGTGCGTTCGACCGACTGTTCAAATTTAAAGAAAAAACTACGACTCGATACTAAAACTTTGGCGAATAAACTGCTCTGAAACGTATTATTTTGTAATTCTGTACAGTTACTCACTTTTCTTCGTCTTCTTCTTTCCCTTTCCTCACAGGCATCTTTGGTCTTTTTGCTGAACATCCAACTGGCGTTAGGCTTTTTGTCACTCATCTTGACCGGTGTTAGTATGGACAAATACGGCAGCGAACAATGATAAAATTTGCACTTTTGTGGAAAAGAGCGTGTAGCGTACTGCGCGAGAAAGTTTCGAGCGCCTCGGATGTCGCGAGTTTCGACTGCCCCGTACAAGGACCACAGAGGGAGGAGAGGTGGGGCACTGCCAGTGTCTCCATGGATTATCAAAATTTTGAACGGTTGCCCGGGCTACTATATTGATGTTTCGAAATTCAAAGACAACAATACATGTGGGATCGGTTGAAATACCCACGCGCGCGTTACTCGAATTTTCTCGAATTTCGTGCATGGTAAAAAGCAACTATTGTCAATGTTTCCTCAGAGAACTCGACTCGAATTTGTTTACCGCATAAATAAACAATTTAAAAGGCATTACCTATATTTTTTTGTGCCTGCCGATAAATAGCCGCGAGCCGTGGTCTCGTGCGCGCGTTATATTTTGTGTTTGTTGACACGATCGGGAGCAGAGTACACAAACAACGTCGTCGTCGTGGGCTTGTTTACGCGAGCGAGCCGTCTTTACGGAGATTTTTTCCTTTTCCGACATGAATACTTTACCTGTAGTATATGTACGGTTTGGCTGCGCGCATACACCGATCGACTCGCCAAGTTTGTTCAAGCCTCGCAAGCGACACGCGCATATGTACAAAGATTTTTTTTTTTCCAAGATCCGATCGACGATCTATCTCGCATAAATTGCTCACGGCTCGGCGCGGATTATATTGTCACCAGGCAGCGTTCCTCTATACGTGCACAAGGGCCGGTGTTTCTCCGCGCGCGCATATTACGTACACGATAAGCGCTATCGTTTTACATTGCGCGCGACATTTTCCGAATTCATTGTCTCTCGGCTCTGTGGGCTATATATGCGTGCTCGTGCACTTGGTCATAAAACGCGTTTTAGAAAGTTGCCGCGCGCGTTGTCTCGAACGCCGTTTCGTAATGGTTGATTATATCGATCGCCTCCGAACTATTGTCTTCGGAAAATGTACGCGGTGCGCGTTCACGCATCGGTAGAAAAAAAAAGTTGGATTAGCTTATCTCCGAAGTATAGAATTAGTCGCGCGAGCAGAGTGTATATATACGCCGGGCACGAAGCATAATAAATCTTTCAACGAGTCGAATCGCGTGGAAAATCGATTTATTATTATATACGCGCTCGCGAGCAGGCAAGGCGAGATAAAGCTCTTAAAATGCTGTACGCGCGTGCAGCTGTGAATTTGTGGACGCATCGAGTTGTATCTTATTTCGTTTTAATTCACACCTGCTGGAGAGAAAAAAGCTACTTTGACTTATTGCTAGACGTGTCTTTTAGCAAAAGAATCTTTCATGGCGCGATAGGTACACAGATTTAATTGGCTGATTATTGATTCATAGCTCACTGCAATCGTGTAAGGTTTAGGCAATTTCCTTTTTGAATTTTTAATGCATCAAATGCCCATTAATAATTACAATATCGTTGATCAATTGTTGTTGTTTTTTCCCACCCGCTTATACAACTGAATAAGTTTAACCTCTCGCACAATCGCGAGTCTCGGGCCGATATAGTTTCATTATACACTTGAAACTCGCGCGGCGCGTATATCGATTTCAATCGATCACTATTATTTTTTCATTTTCCAACCGTGTGTATCTGTATGTAGCAAAGCGAATGAAACTTCGAAACTGACACGGAAAATTCGATTCGCAGCCGAGATAAAAAATCAATCAGAGCTAAATCCATACGAGTGCGGTACCACAGTATTTACTTTTTTTTTACTGCTCTTTCTTTTTTTTTTTTTTTGAATGAAACCGTGTTGAACTTATCCAGCATCTCCGATAATCGAACGTTTGTTTTTCTTTTTTTGCGCTACGCGCATACCTACCTACCTACCTCTACCGGTCGGATGCGATGAAACGAATCGCGAGATGCGTTAACTCAATTTATATATTATGTGTACAAACACTGTGGACGTTCATTGGTATAATATCGTGCCCATCGTTTAAGCTTGTTACAAACTAGCGATACACTTTCGTGTCTATTTATTCTGTATAAGATATTTGATTACCTTATTTGGAATCTCGCCACCATCGTGCGGCGTATATTGCATTTTTTTCGCTTTTGTAAATAAAGTAACGAGAAAAAAAAGATGAAAAATAAAAATAGAGTCTGGCGCGTAATACTTTATCGAGAAAGATGATTTTTCCTATCCCCCGTGATATTTGTGTATTTCTGCATCGCTTTGAACAAGGTGGAACAAACGCGAACGAGGCAAGATTTCCCGCGAGGTAAATAAATCCGCACACACACGCGCATACTTTTGTATACGTATATGTACACGCGAGCAAAGCTCCAATATAGTGGAACGCGCGCGAAGGAATATAGTTGTAGATATTATAAAATAAGCTGCACATCAGACGCATACGTTTTTAACTCGCCTTGTGTCTGTGCAAATGCGCGCGCGAGGATATCAAAAGCTGTTTTGCAAATATGAGTTTTCGCGTAAATGCGAACGGCGAAAAAGAAATAGAAGCAGCTGTAGCACGAAAAGAATAAGAAATACCGATGGAGAGCGAGTGCAGCAACCTCTTGCGCTTACTTCAGCTGCGTGCGGCGCTCTATATCTCTAGCTTTTTTCTCTCTCTCTTTCTTCCTCATCTTCTCTCTTTCTTGGGCTTTGGCGCTTTTCAGCGCTCGCGCGCGACGCGGCGAACACACAACAGCAGCAGCAGCAGCAGCTTCCAAAGTCACTTCAGATTCGCTTCCGTATTCAACGACGGTCCTCTTAAAATTTCTGCGCGCGAGAAAGAAAGCTCTCGACGCTGCTCCGTGTGCCACGTCTACGTTTTGTTCTAATTATCTCGAGAGAGGAAGAAACGCGCCTTCACGTATTATGGAGCTTCGTGGCACTTATGCATTTACTCTTTTCGAAGTATGAGACTTCCATCATCCGGCGCATTTGACTTGTGCATGGAAGTATTAATTGTTATAATTATTTTTCACGAATTTGAATTCAAAATTTATTATTGTTACAACTCAAAGTGACGAGACTTTTTCATCGCATCTTTCAAGTCGCTTCATGCACGATGGAACCAATAACGTCGCATGAACTTAATAATGAAACTAAATTGAATTTGACATTGATTCATCGCTGAATCAAATCTAATCCAGAGTCTAAAACAACAACCGCATAAGATATCGATTTCGAGCGAGTATAGAGCGCATCACGATTACTAATTTAATTTATTTTCCGCGCTAATCAAAGTCCTGCGATCTCAAGACGGCGGCGGCGGCGGCGGCGAACGAAGGAAGAATCTGGGAAGTTAATTACCATAAGGTCAGCGAGTCGTTTTATTATTAATAGCTCGCGCACGACTTGGTCAAGCTTGCAGTAATTGGTCAATCATGCTCCTGCCGCCACCGCCGCCGCTGCTTATTATAATGCCGAGGTGCGCGCGCCGAGACGTGCAGCGCATATATAGGCTATATACAATGTTATATTATGTATATGATATAGCTATATGTATATTTTCAGCATACGAGCCCGTTTGAGGCTGATTTCGCGCTGAGCGTGCTCAGTGAGTAAGGCATTCGTATACAGTCGAGGAGAGCAGCGCGCTATGTGGCGACAATTCACACTCCTCCTCGCACTGAAATCAATTGATTACAGGTCAAGGAGCCCTGATTACAGTCGAGGAGAAGTGTGAATTGTCGCCACGTAGCGCGCTGCTCTCCTCGACTGTATGCGATCCCGCAGACTCGAGCCGAGACGACTCGCTCAGCTCGCGTGCGTGTAGCCTGTGCTGTCTGCTACATGTCAAAGTGGCAGGCCAACTCGCGCTGCCTTTAACCTCTCTTTCTTGAATACAAACATATCTACACGAGATAGAAATGTCATTTTTAATTCATGTTTGTGTTCGCACTAAACACGATGACTGTAAAAATGAAGCAGTAGAAACTGAATAATGGAAAGAAATGCAGCGTGACCGATGTTATACCGACTCTACTCATCAAGACACTAGGAAAATCAGTGTAATGAGATTCAAGTTGGCACAACCAGTGCTTTATGCAACCTCTCGTTTTTCAGAAAAAACATATCCACACAAGTTGCATGTACAGTATTTTACACGAGACATACGCATATACAGTATGTAGACGAGAGCCGAAAACTAGCGGCCAAGTTACAGTTTTTAGTTTAGAGTGCTATAAAGAAATTAAATGGAACATAACAATTATGCATGATATAGTTCTCAAAACGAGCTCTTATGCAGAAAAATTGTTAACACATCAATGGCTGTTAGCGGTGTGGATACGTCTCAGCGTGTTTGCAGCGTTGCGGACGCTGTAGTGCCTCGGCTGCTTCGCTTCGCTACGCAGCCTCGGCGACTACAGCGCCCCAACGCTGCAAACACACCTCGACTGTATCCACACCGCATACAGCCCTTGATGTGTAAATAACTAATCTCTTGGGTGTTCGCTTGGAGAAGCGCGCAAAAAGAAGAAAAGAAAAACGTATAGAGGAGCCTTTTCAAGGCGTACTCGTATTATATACATCTATCTTTCGCCTTCCTCTTTTTCTCGAGCCCTTGTATTTCTTTTCTATCTCTCTCTCTCTGGGAACGCGCGCTACGTGTAACTTCGTCTCTGCTCGACAGCAGCAGCAGCAGCTTCGAAGGATCTATATATACACAACTCTCCAACTGCACCGAGCCAGACTCGCTATCGTCGACTTATCTCATTATATGACAACCGGTTATTGCCTTTGTTATCAATTTACGTAATGAGCGCGAGTCATTGTTTTGTTTTGCTTCTTTTTTCCGTCGTTGCTTTTGCCTCGCTTTCTTTTTCTTTTCCTTTACTTCGATGAAAATTCCCGTTATACTCGAGCAGCGGATTCGCTTTTTTTGCTTGGGTACTTTTTAACACTAATAAATACGGTGCTATACGTATACTCGCGCGAAGCGCATCGACGATCATTTTATATATAATAAGATTTTTTTTTTACTCTCTTTCGTGCCGCATCGACTCTTCGCGCGCACGAGCTTTGTTATTCGCTCGTCGAAGCACATTACACGTCCCACTGCGAGCATAAATCTAAATTCACGATAAATAATCAGCAGCTACAGTGG